CGCCACCAAAGGGCTAAAACGGCAACACTGGACATATTCTTTTTTTATGCCAGTTGCTTTGCTCGCTGACATATTCTCTTCTATGCCAGTTGCTCATTTCGCACATATTCTCTTGTATGCCAGTTGCTTTTTGCTTTTTTTACCTTCTCTTCTTTCGCAAATTCACCTCGTCGCCACTGTAACAACCGCCCGCTTATCATGAGGAAAAATCTAAATTCCGCAGATTTCTTCTCGCTGCGACTACAGAAATATTCTGCGTTGTTGAATTTTCATTTGCATGGCGTTCTGGTAAGATAGATCGCGTCAGCTGACTCGGGTCACGTACCGGTGGGTTTACGTTATTGACTAATTTCACCTTTACATGGTTTATTTCGATGTTTTTTCTGAGGAAAATATGGTTCTATTTGTATCATAAATATATATATGTATCTATATATAATCGTACAGAGACAATTTACTTTCAAATTAAGGTTCTGGGTCTGAAAATTTGCACAAACATTTCAGATTTAAGAATCATTTGATGTACATATTTGCACGGTAAGATTTTAAAAAATGTTACATTGAACAATTTTAAAATGTAAAACTGATTCTCACAGACGTATTCTCATTTTCCTCAATTTTGAACAATTTCATTTCTTTATTTTAAATTTTGTATAGTTTCAAAATGGTGGAAAACTTAAAAAAATCCTGTCGGGTGAACTGAGGGCACGGTAAAGTATTTTAAACTCTCGCCAGACTCAAAAATTAAGATTAGTGCCACAAGAGATTATTTTCCGAGATTTAGCCGATTGGGTATTTGAACCTCAGCCTGGTGTAATTAATCAAAACCACTTGAAGGATCAATCAATTTCGCGTCCACAAAATAAGCACTATAAGATAGTTAATAAAGAAATGGTTAATATGTTGTGCGGAGAAGAAATGGCGTCTACTGTCATTTCTGAATATCCACAGGAGCAAGAAGAAGTAGGGGAGTTGCACCACATAACTTGATACTAAAAGTTAGATCAGTTGCGATGCTAATCCACAACCTAAATATGTACATATGAAGTGTTAGTTAATGGTCTCGCTTAATAGTTAAAGAATTACAATAGTGGTATTCATCAAAGTGAGCAAGTGGCCTGGCACTCTGGCAAAAGGGCAGATGAGCTCAAGCAATGACTGTTGACAACCTCTAATGTAATTGTTTGGATGCCGCAATACAAATATGTACATATAAAGGGTTAGTTAATGGACTTTAAACATGTGATTCGAATTATACTATCCCATATAAATTAACAGCCCAGCGAATCAACACTTGCTTTTATATTTAAACGTCGCCAATTCAGTAAATAAATAAGTCTCAAGGTCAGACCCTAGCAAGAAGATTGCTTAAATCATGGCGTATTGAGTAGAGTACGATCTTGCCCAAATACCAAGCTAAAGTTAACTACCAACAGCAATGCATGTGGTTTTTAGAATAAAGAAATATGCAGATTTTTTAGACTATTACATTTAATGACTGTGCCCACATTTTTTGCGAGTTGTAAACGTTATAGTGATCCAATCTTCCCCATATTTTATATTTTGCGCTTCTTAATAAAATAGAGAGTACAAACTAAATTTTATCGAAATAGAAGATTTGACCCATCTAGCTGCTTTTAATTCTCTAATACGAAAACTATTGAAGATAAATTAACGAAATTTTCACAAGGTACGTTATAAGATAGGCGAAGCTTTTTACAAAAAAAAATAAACATTTAGAGGAACTGTGACGCCACCCTAGTATATAACTGTAATTTTTAAAAAGGCAAAATCTGAAATATTTAATTAACTACAAGGGCTAAAATGCAAATAATTGATATTTAGAATTTCCTTATAACAAGGAACTATAAACTGACAAAAATGGACTTACAAATAATTTTTTTTTTTTATTATGGACGTGGCAAATATCGATAAAAAAGTAACAACAAAATTCCGTTATAAGTTCAATATTTCTTGCTCTATTAACAAAAATGGGGTACCATTGGAAAGCTTTCTCAATTCGAAAACGAAAATCCAAAAATTTGTCTCGGTCGAGATCAAATGCAAATGAATTACTCGAAGAAAATGAAATTCCCAGTAGGCCTGAAAAAAAATTGCATCAAAAATAGCACTTTCCAGCAGCTAAAGCTGTTTTGTGGCAAATAAACTGAGATACAAACTTTATCGAATAATCAAGGATAACGAGTTTGCGGGTCTACTGAAACTAATAAATTGCTAAAATAAAATTTAAATTAACATCGTTTTACTTTAACATGAAATACTCAGTCCTAGTTTATTAAAATCCCAAAAATGTATGTTCATTAAAAAGAACATATCTAAACAAATAACACCAAAGGGTATTTTAGCAATTGTTGCATAAATCACATAACACCAACAACTTAAATATTGAGAGTCAGATTCAAATACAATGTACAAATAAATGTACAAGTTTAAATATTTTTGCGCTTGGTAATCTTTCAAATCAAATCCCGTCCGCGCTTCACTTTAATTTAAATGTTGTTGTTGTTATTGTTTCGTCTTTATCGGGAATTTTTAAAAACATGTTTGACGTTGTTTCGAAATTTGGCGATATAAAATAATTTAATTAGTATTTTCTAGAATAAGGAAATAATACACTGTGGGGCGCGCCAATTATCCCATCTTTACCAAATTTCAAAGTTTCAGCGAAATCGGTGCAGGTTAACTATTATTTTTCTACCTGCCTCCATATAGTTTTATTAACCCGCATTCATAGGCAATTTTTTGTAACACAAAGTACGGTATGCATCAATTTCATACATATGGAAAAGGACCCTAGTTTGTAATGAAATGTCGGTATTTTTTTCTATTTTTTTGTTGAGATCCTAAAAATAACTATTCTCTTGAGAAAAAAAACATTGACAAACTTTGCTTTCAAGACGTGGGCGATTCCAGAGCTCCGTTAGCCCCAGAAACAGGTAAGCCAACTCGTGATGAATTTCCCGATTTGCGTGGAATTTCAGTTTGCGAGGGGATTCGGTGAAGGGACCGTTTTTTAAGGGGAATTTCAGTTTACATGGGGAAGCGGCAGTTGAAAAGTTGTTTGTGACAAATTTTTTCTTTTTTGCTTCACTAATTTCATAATGATTTAAAAAATGTAAGTTGAAATGTCACACCCGTCACCCTGGAATGAGCCGAATGCAGTTTTGTAGCTCGTTCAATTCTGGTATAATAGTCTTTCAAATGGCTAAAAATTGCCGTTGATTTTTTGTAATTTTCTTTCTCGCATTTGCTTTCATATAACGAATAATCATAATTTATTTTGTATGGAAGAAAACCGCAACACCTTCGGCAAAAAAAAATATAAAACGAAATTTTTATGCACTTGAAACTTGCACTTTTTATACTCAATTGAGTGGGCTTCAAAACTGCATACTCAAAATTTGTATGAAAAATCGAATTTAAAGCTCGAAATTTTTAGAAAATTTGTCGATTTTTTTTTAATATTGCACAACGTTTGAAACTTGGATTTAAACGGGTTTTGTCATACAAACATAACTTATATTAAATAAAAAAATAATTATTTCAACTTGTCAAAATTTCGTGCGACATTTTTTTTTACCACTGTATGTATGTAAATACTATATGTATGCATGTACAATTTTTATTCTTGTTATTTGTTAACAAACTTTTTCAAGTTTGGTTTGGTTAGATCAATTACATTGTTACGTCGCTGACTGTTGGGGTAAGGTTGGTTGGCATTCAGGCATGCTGGCATCCCAAGCTAGCTCGTCGGTTGGTTGGGTCACCTCCAACCACCTTACTTGCAGCTGACATAAACAAAATTTGTCATCATGCCTGTTAGAGAAAAGACCCTGCAAGACCGGGAGAATAGAAATATAAAGGAGATAGGAGAGGCCCGTCCGAGTCAGGTGGAGTCAGCCCACCCCATCTACGTTCTTGTGGCCTTGGACTTTGTCGTGACTCCTACAATTGGCAAAGTCCCCTAAACCTGACCTTAGTTCGTACGTCTATTGACAAGTCATGTCCAAGTCAGTAACGTCAATCAGTGTCGACACCCATTTCCCCCCTGTTGCACTAGTGCAACACCCACACCAATATAAAGAATCAGCAAGCCATAACTTCTCGTTCAATCCTGATTACATTATCCATATATTTCCTCCTAAACATATACTATACATAGTCTATTATTTATATATATAAAAGTGCAGCTACAACTAAACTTTATTCACAACTTCAATTAATAAGAACTCTGGTTTTCTTAACTTACAAAATCCAAGTATTCACTTCCACCTATCAATGTTTCTAACTAAGGGAAACTTTATTCACAGCTTTAATTAATAAGAACTCTGGTTTCCTTAACTTACAAATTCCAAGTATTCACTCCTACCTATCTATGGCTATGTGTATATCTATTTATATAACATATAGGACGTTTGGCGCGTTTGCAATGTCAAATGAAATCCAGGTAAGAAAACGATCTCAAAGATCCAAAACGAACCGAAAATTTAAAATACAGATACATAAGCCTGTAAATATGCACCTAAGTATATATGTGTATACTATTGCTTTATACACTCTATTTACTACGCCCAAATTGTACGTAATGTTTCAAAATACCTCTTGCTCACTATCTATTCGTACATACATATGCATATAGGCATATGTATGTATGTAAGTATGAATGAATATACATTTGTAAGCATACCTTATGTATTAGCACTTACCGATCTCGCATGTGATGTAGGCGCCTGCATACAGGAGATGGGAGAGGCTGGAGTAAGAAATATTATGGAATAACAAAAAAAAACTTCCAATACCTAGCAAGAGTATAGGCGGTACACTAGATTGGGAGCATTCATAGGTGGGTAAATGTCATGCTTGCGCCGTGACATTCATTTACTCCGGGACGGTCGCCAGCACTCTTGACTCCGCCATTTGACCACCTCCGAACCTCTTTTAATAAAAAAAATAAAAACAAACGTAAAAACTGAGTTAAATTAAAATACCGGACTACTGAATTTCATTTTTTTCTTCACGAATTCGCCAAATACGGACCTATAATATAAAGGCAAATGGGATTTAAAATAAAAATAAGGTATACAACTAAAAATCAAATTACTATTTATGGATTGTGGCAAGTGCAAAATATATCAATATCATATGTACGTATCAGGGGTGATGGTTTCGATCAAGGACTAAAAATAAGAATAAGAATAAATAAAAGTTAGCTACAAACATGCGCGAAATTTGGTTTGAGGTTATGTCAGTATAATGGCAAATTAGGTGGAACCATATGGAACTTAAGAAAGAAAGACGCAAGTGTGGTGAAAGAAAAATCAATAAAACGAAAACTGAATGTGGTGTATTGTGATAAGAGTGGCCGCCAACAGCGATTGACGGAGTGCTGTTACATGAGCGCCTGGAAGCTCTCCTTCTGATGCTCCTCGCGCGGAGTCCGGCGCTCTGGAATGTAAGTGTTTCAGGTTTCTCTAGGCTCTTGGTGTTGATCTCGGTGTTTCTTTCTTTGTGTATTCCCGGTCGTTGACCTCAACTATGTATTTCTCGCCGTTCCGCGATTTTGTCTGACATGTATAGCAGTGGTTGTATATAACTTGTATACGTGGCTATGTACTAGACGCTTTGGTGTTAAAAAGGCTCAACTCCAAAATTCAGGCTTTTGAGTCCCCTTGGTACTCCTGCCGCTTGATAGCCTATAATATTGTTGTTGTCGTTGGGTTCTTCGCCTATCTTTTTATTTTCGGCGTTACTGTGTGGTCACCCTTTTTTTCGTTTGATATTAATTGCATGTTTGTTAAGTTGTATGTATGTTAACGTATCAATTCCCAGTGAGAAAAGTAATAATGCCTTACATGCATGATAGATAGGGTAACGTATTTCTTGTGAGTTCTAGATTATAGAACTGTTAATCATTTAATCAGCATTCAAATTTATCAAAAAAGTCGCAACAATTTCATATCACATCACATTATTCTTGCATTACTGGTAATGCCAAATTGAATGCCCCCCTTTTCTTAGGACGTCGCAGTGAAAAAAATAATGCATTATCAAATGCGAAAACGGCTGTTTTACTGGTTTTTTCTTTCGATTACAATCCATTACATTTTCCCACTGGGTTGTTTAGTTCTATGCATTTCTGTCTATATTTATGTGTGTGTTTATGTGCTTGGTGACATTTGCTTATTTGGTTTATTTCTTTAATTAGGCTACAGGTAATTTATTTTAATTTCGTAATTACATACAAAGGTTTACAGCACATTCTCTTTAATTCACTTTTCATGTCATTTTACAACAATAATTTCGCAAAAATCATTTTAAGCCTTGTTTTTTTTGCTATTTAAGACATTTTAATTTTATATTAATTTATTTTATTTTACTTTAAATTTATCTCTATCTACATATAGTTTATACTGATTTTAAGATGGTTTTCAGTCGGCGTTTACCGATTCATCATTATTTTTTACTTGAGTCTAATTGAAATTACGTTTAGTTGTCCCGAGTTTTGTACACTTTATTAAAAAAAAGGAAAAAAAGGTGACACACTCAGTTACATACATGCATATACTAGGCTTAGGTCTATTTAGCTGACTCACCTTCTGGGTGCGGGATCTGCGGCGGGAATTAATGGTCCCGGTTAAACGGGGCACAACTTGTTTTATTCTTTTTTTGCCACTGATTAAAATAAACTGTATTCGATGCGGAACTTTCCCTTGCATTTCTTTTCACTTAAAAGACACTTTCCCATTTGAATCTTCCTGTTAGCCGACCAAGCGATCGTGCCCCGGTGCATTTGCGTGTGGGTCATTTCTCAAACTTTCACTCAGATCCACGCAAACAAACACATAATTCAAATCTACACCTTAGCATACGCACCTACATACACGTACGCACACAGTCATTCCGGGCAGTGCGCCTTCTCACACATGTTGCGCAACATGTTTGGGTACATCGTTGAGGTACAAACGGGCATTTGTGGGGGGGGGGGGGATATTTGAGTGGGGATATTTGTTGCAGCAGTTACTTGCCACCTACAACAGCCGTCATCGATTAGCCACTTCTCGCTCGCTATGTTTGAATTCCGGTCGCTTAAAGAAGAATTTTGCATGCGAAAGCAACAACAAAGTTAGCTAGCACGGATAGACGATAGCGAGTTTGGTTGTACCTCATTGAGTTCGTTCGTTTCGCCACTCGCTAACTGATGGCGAATCGATGACGGCTAACATAGGCTGTCGTTACAACATTTAAAAATAAAATAGACAGAAAGGCCAGAAATAAGTGTACGTATCAAAATACATACAATTTTTATTTTTATTTTGTAAATAGGGAGATATCAATGAGTGGGGAATTTGATGAAATTTCGGGCGGAATCGGGGAATTTCACTGACGAAATCGGGGAATTCCCAAAAATGAGTTGGCTACCCTGCCGGGAAATCAGGTTCTACATTCGTATGTTTTGCATACGTAAACAGAAATACTTGAAAAGATTGCAAAAAATCTTCATTTTACCAGTCAATTATGTTAAGGAAATATTTTTTGTAAAACAGCACTCACTTTATATGATCCTTATACTGTTTAAAACTCGCTCGAGTAGCATCATCTGCTTTAAGCTGTGCCTCCTTCCATCTTCGGAACGATTCTATAACCTTGTCATTTTGCTTGCGAAGATCGCTTAGTTTTCTTAAAATTAAAGGTTAAAAATAAATTTCAATAAGAATTTGGAATGACTCTTGCAATAAAGTACCTGTACTCTTCCTCGAGTTGTTTGTAGTCATTACAGAGTACATTGAACTGCCTCTTCAACTCATTATTTGCCTCTTGAAGTCGTTTTGTACAATCCTTTTGAGTAGACTCCTTGCGCTGCATGATATTTTGCTGTTCCTTCATCACATCATGCGCCATATATAGCTCCCTTTCGATCTTCATTAATTGCTCCGTACGGCATCTTTCTTTGCTCAGCAAAGTGGCTTCTTTTTCTTTCAAGGCTAGCACTTCTTCTCTTAATAGATTTTGCTTAAAAGATTAATTTGATCATTATCTGTTTCCCCACCAGAAACAAAACATACAAACCTCCAGATTGTGTTCCTCCTGACGCTTGTCCCTTTGCGCTAGACGTTCTTGCAAGCAATTCATTTGAACACAAGCGGTTCGCAGTTGTTTCGCCTGGTCTTCATAGTTTCGTTCCAGTTCCTTGTATTTTTTACATATATCTTTACTACAGGCATCTTGCGATTTCAACACTGTATATAACCGATCCATTTGCATACTAAGATCATCTGCATAAATTATAAGAAAACAAGTAAAGAAGTGTAAGTTCGGACGAACCCGAATTTTATATACCCGGCGCAGGTATCTAACATCGTCGTTCCAACCTTCTCTAAACTACCTAAAAGTCTATAACAGTCTTATTTATTGTTACGAGATTGTTGTAAGTATTGAGCGTCCGCAGTTCTTAGAAATATCGGCGTTTTCATATATCATTGTACGAGAAGCGGGTCTTGTTTTATTATGACTTGAATAATTCTTAACGAATTGCTTTTGCATACCAAGCTTATTAAATGTACTGAGTTTGGTAGAAATTGATAAATCGGTTACCGAGATACACATTTGTGGTCATAAGTGGGCGGCGCCACGCCCCTTATCCAAAAATTTATAAGAATCAATAATCTGCTAAGTGGTTATTAAATAATCGATTTTGAGTCAATTGAATTTATTAGTTACTGATTTATCATCGATTTTAAGTGATTTAGCTTTAGTAGTTATTGATTTATCGCAGTTTTCGAGTTTCTGTAAGTTGCCGTTACATGAGAGGTGGGCGTGGCTATTGCCCGATCTCAAAGATTTTTAAACAATTTTTTAGCTGGATCCTAAATGAGACTCTTACCGAGTTTGGCAAGGATTGGTGAAGCAGCTACTAAGATATTTCATCATAAGTCATCCTTTTTGTAAAAGTTTCATAATAATATTATTTTGTACCAAAATTCTACTTCAGATACTAGTGTTCAACAAGTTGGATATACATACTATTTACTGAAATATCATACGGTTTTTTGAATTTTTCTAAAATACAGTTATATGAGAAGGGGACATGGTTACAGTCTGATTTAACCCATTTTCAATGGCAACCTACCTTGGGTAAAGGCTAACCTACATACCGAATTTTGTTGAGATACCTCAATATTTGCTCGAGTTATCGTGTACACGTACACACGGAAGGACGGACGGATGGCATGGCTTAATCGTCTTCTCTTTTCATTCTGATCATTTATATATATGTAGATATCTCTATCATCTATCTCAATTCCACGGTTCGGAAATATTCATATATGAACGTTCGCGTACATATATTAATGATTTTATTCGCGAACGTGAACGTATCAAATATTCTCTATTGATTCTCCTTCGCGAATGAGAAGCATAAAACAAGTCCAGATCGTTCGCGTTCGCGAATGTTAGGTAGAAAAAATTTTCGCTGTTGTTCGTACGCGTATGTATTGGTAGACCAAACAGCGTGCACTACTGTCGTTCTCGTTTATAAGTGAATGCAAATGCTGCGTCAAACATTCGCGGAAAGTTGGTGTGGCTAGAGATACTATTCTGTGTGGAGGCAAACTGTGCCTTAGACGGTCCCAAGCCCGGTTTGAGAAAACAGGAGGGAAGACAGGGGGCTTTGGTATTTCCAGGGTACGGGCTTGACAACCCCGTCTACCCCAGTTAAAGGCTACCAGTCCTGAGTCGGTGGAGGTTCAACTGGAAGAAGTCTACGGCTTTCGAGAGTCATACCAAAGACTTTAAAAATGGTGCCACGGGGAACAGATGCCCCCGGAGTGTTTTCGTCGGCGAGACGAGCAAAACTGGTGACGCAAACAAGGCTTGCAAGGCAGGCAAGGCAAACACTGGCATGGCTTACACGACTAGAAAATGGAGAAAATGGTGAAAATGGAGATAATGGAGAAAAAGTGTGTGGAGGAAAAGTGTGGTGGAAACCGCTGGAAATGGTGAAAAAGTTGTGCGCAAGTTGAGCAATTCGATCCGTTGCGAAAGCTGAGCCGTGTCACCGCTCCTGGATGTGGAGGGTGCCCACGAGCGAGGCGAGTAGGACGTGTGAGATGAGCAAGACGGAGCAAGATGGTGAATGTGTGTCGAGCAACTCGATCGGTCGAAAGTTGAGCAAGTGGTGTCACCGCTCCTGGATGTGGAGGGTGCCCACGAGCGAGGCGATTAGACTTGTGAGACGAGCAAGACGGAGTATGAATGTGGAGTGAAGTAGTCGTGTAAGTCGTTCTAGTGTGAGCTGAGTCAGTTAAGTGGGTCAGGGTGAGTTGAGCCAGTCCAGCAAATCTCGCCGGCGAGCATTACTCCGGTCTGTTCATGGGTACGGCCCCTTTGGGGAGTATCGTGGTGGCTGTGGTTTAATACCTAAATGCGGGTAGAACCAGCAATGGTTCAATGTGGAGTTGCATTGCAACCGGATGTCGTGATCCACAGATCGTCAGAGGTTTAGGTAGGCCTCGGCCCTACCAAGGTGGTAAGTGTGTCCACCACATACTGCCAATTGGTACTGAAGTGCTTGCAGTTCAGGGCAGTGATTAAAGCAAAAATTAATCCGTTGTGCCAAATGCGGGCACCGTGGTTAAAGCCGTTGGCAGGAAATCACGTAAAGCCTACATGAAATCTGTGTGGAGGCAATTTTGTTAATTGCATAAGATTTGCACCGTTCATTCGATTTTCAAAAGTGAGGTATCAAATGAAAGGGCTTGGCCTCTAGATGTTTCTGTCATAATAGATCTATTCATAAAATTTTCCAGCAAGTACTAGCAGCCAGAGAATAAAAGAATCATAGCGAGTAAAATTGAGGGGAAGACTAAAATATCAGAAAAGGTTATTGAACGCAGTAAAACTCACGTCATTCTGACTTTTTGATAGGTAAGTAAGTTTTTTTCTAACAAATATTTTTGATACCACATCATGACGCAGTCAGAAATAAAAGAATCTCCTCCAAGCACCCCTCCTTGTTTCACAAAATTTAAGTAGATTTAGCTTTAAATATATATAGATAAATATAAATAGATATAGGCGCGTATTCATAGTCCAGCCACTTATAGGCCTATTCTGCTTGTAACCAAACATTTTGTAACAAGCTAATTTTGTTACCAACAATTGCTCCATTTCTTGCAACCGCAATTCTATTTACCTTGGTAACGTTTCAATTTATTCAGCAGTTCAGCTATGGAGTTTTGTGTAAATTCTGGTGTTGCATATTTAACGGGGCAATATTTTGTTACCTGTTCATGAGATGGTAACAAAATTTACCGGTTACAAGAGTGTGGAGAATACGAAAAGGGTTTAAAAATTGACAGTAACTTTACTAACCGGTAACAAAATTTTTGTTACCAACTCAGAATAGGCCTGTAAGTTGAAGTTAATAAAGTTGCAACTTAAATTTAAGTACCAACTTAAAATTCACTTCTATTCATAGTCGCATTTCAGACTTCTACTAAGTAGTTTTAACTTAGTGTTACGATATTGCAAAACGAGTGAGAAAATGTATCGATTTTTCTTTACGATATTTTGGAAAAATTACATTTTTATTAAATAATGTCAAGTTTGATCATCCGTTTATGTAATTTTTACTTTCATTGCATGTTTATGCAAAAGAATAAGGTATAAGATTCTTGTTAATTGTGTGAAATAGCCAGAACTACCGCAATGATGTGAAGTCGATGTTTATCGAAAGCATGCTGTGAAACATACAAACATATATCTAAATGTTATGCACTAATTTGCTTTAAATGAACAAGCTTGAAATTGACTTATTATTTGAGCATTTATATATGTAAAACATTCCAATTATAAAATTATGAAGCAGCTTTATTCGAATTGTTATACGCATTTAATTTCATCTTCCTATTCAAATGGATCGCTCTTTGTAAATTTCAATTGGAGATCATTCAATATTATCAAAATCACGCTCTCCCAACTTTATTTTTACATATTTCGTATTTTTTTCCTTAATTTAATACAATACTTCTCCCTAGTTACGACTTAATTGCAGCTTCAGCCGAAACTAAATTTTAAGTTGGTACTTAGCCAGAAAAGTCGAAACTAAGGCGACTATGAATAGCTTTAGTTGTAACTTAGGATAGTTTCGACTTAGTTGTGAACTAAATATGACTATGAATATGCGCCATAGTCTTTAAAATTATCCCATTTTCGTTTTAACGATCAATTGACAAATTCGGTCAGAACCTTTCAGCATTATTATCTATTTTGCTATATTTCTCAATATTTTGCGTAAATTCCGGCCAACAAATAGTTTCATCCACAATTGATTAATTTTATACGGCAGCCATAGTTGACGCATGGAAATTATAAAATTAGAGATCAATAGTAAATTAACTAAACTAAACTTTTCTTCCTTTCTTTTGTTTATTCACGAACACATGTTGTGGTCAGCAGACATTTACTTGTAAGTTTTCGCAGGTAAAATTTTTTCCAGCATAAATTGGCAGATCTCAGTGTCATTTTGCGCTCTCGATTTCCCCCACTTCGCAAGATTTTAGGTACGAGAACACTGCTATTAACTTGTTTATTTCCATAAAAGGAAATATTTTGCAAAATATTTTTATAAAACTTCCATTCCGTTAAATGCAACGGTTTTATTTTAAATTTTTGTATTACTAGCACTTAATAAGTATAACTTGTATGCCTTTCTTGATTACTTTGGCGTTTTGGTGGCCTTTTCAAACAATTGATTTGCATTTATGTGTTCCACCTTCGACACGCCATGTTTTATATCATGATTTTTATACAGGAAATCTAAAAACATATGTGTTTGTAACTATGTATGTATGGTCTTTTAAATGTTGGTACTTTTTCGGCTTATTTAGTACACTTTTTTTGGCCATTTGGTACAAAATTAAAAAACTCATTTATCATCCCTGATTTACACCGTTCTCATGATTTAAAAATATTGAGGTGTCAAATGAAAGGGCCTGGCCTCTGGATGTGCAGCAAGGATATATTTTTTTAATAGCGTTCTCCCGATTTTCAAAAATGAGGTGTCAAATGAAAGGGCTTGGCGTCTGGATGAGCAGTAAGGATATATTTTTTTGAATAGGATTGCCACCAATTTAAAATCTGCACGGTTCTTTGGAGAAAAAAAATAAGGTGTCAAATGAAAGGGCTGGAACTGAAGGCGTACAATAAGGATTTATTTTTTGATCAGAGTTGCGGCCTGTCTACAAAATTATAATGTTTACATCCTTCGCATAATTTTCAAAAATGAGATATCAAGTGAAAGTGCCTGGCCTTTAGAAGTGCACCCAGGCTTTAATTTTTTAAAAGGGTTGCCTTCTGTCAAAAAGTTATAAGGATTACACCATTTACCTATACATGCATATGTTTGTATGTATTGTGGCGAATACTGCGGCAACACAAAGCGAACAACGAGAAATATTCAGAATGTTCGAGGAATGACGTAGAATGTTCCACAAAGAGAAACGTCAAGTTGGATGAACACTGCGAACAGCGAGAGAAAGAGAATGAGCGATGAACTTCAGAACGTTCGAGAGTTGCCATGAGTGCGAGCGCAGGTATATAAGAGCCACGACACAGCGGAGTTGGTGAGTTACAAGTCAGCAAGCTACAAGTAAAGTGAGCAGAGAAGTGAGTTGCGAATAAGCAAGCTATAAGTTTAATTGTGTTAACAAATTTAGTAAAGCGTTGTTATTGCTTTAGAAAGTATTGTAAAGTGTTTTTACTGTATTAGCGAGTATTGTAAATTGTTTTTTGTACAATAAAGTTAACTGTACTACAATTTGGTCATCGTTAGCATTTACTTAACAATCCAGCGATACGAGCCGTAGGATATTTGGGAAATCTCTCAAGGTTTCTAGGATAATCGTAACAGTATATACTTTGTTGCGTTTGTTCATATCTACCTACATATGGACAATATTTATACATATGTACATTCTACCATACATGTTAGGTAGAAGGCATTTTCGCTGTTGTTCATACGCGAAATTTTTCTACCCAACATATGCGAAAGCTGTTTGTTTTAAAATATTTCTACATAAAATAAAGATTTCTGAGAAATACTAACGACCTTAATTTCATGAGAATGCATTCCATTATTGTTAATAATACGCACATTATAACGAATCTTTATAGAATTTATATAGACCAGTGCTCTAATCGTGACAGTCTTCTACGAGCAACTCGTCGGATAAAAAATTCATATTTCGAACGTGGACGTACTGCTCGTCTCGTATCCGAACTACAAACGTGAAGGGCATTACGTACTTTTACGACTGTAAAAATCCGTAATATACATTTTTACGTGACGAGTTGCTCGTTCGCGACTGTTACGATCAGAGCTCAGGTAGAAGCGTAATTATTACGCGAGTATATTAAGTTTAAAAATTGTCTCTGCCTAAGATACTTTTTTCTACGTAACATAAGTGACATTCTGACGCTTCCCGTAAACGCAATGAGTAATGCACAAGGTCCAACACCACAAAGAGTAATAATGGCCTTTAAGGAAAGACTAGCTAAACTTTGCGATAGGGAAATGGAGCCATTTAACAACAATATTTTGGACTCCTGTCGAAGATTATATCGGAATGATGCCGATATGTTACAATTAATGGAAGTTGTACTAGCCATACCTGCAACACAAGTTTCTGTTGAAACAGCATTCAGTGCACTTTCAACAATATTAACTAAACTTCGAGCAAAACTTTCAAAGAAATCGCTGTCAAATTTATTAATTACAAAATTAAACTTTGAGCTCCCAAATTTTTCAACACTAAATGTTGAAGATAGCAACTAAGCAAAACTACCTCATCATGTCGGTCTCCTTGCCGCTGGGAATGGGGCTTAAGTGATGCTATGTCAGTCATACTGGTGTGCCGGGCACAGCACCATGAACCAAGAGGGGTACTGAGTATAGGACTGGAGTCTGCGGTTGCACACCCGTAGATCGTGTGGCGGCCGTGGGCTGCAACTCCCATGCGCAGACGCCCGCACTGACGTTCCCCAACCCAACCGATTCCTCTAACCGCCCCCCTTACCTATCACCACACATATATATTGCCGACCGCTCTCCCCTTTTCCCTCCTCTGGAAAGCACTTTAAGCCAGTAGTGTTGAGGTACTCGTGCCGATGGATGAATGGCCAGTAGTGCTTAAAGAACTGGTCGCTAACGGTCCCCTCCGATGCCCGGGCAAGGTCGGTTGTATAAGTGCCTTACCACGGTATGCCGGCTTTGCCGGGGTGGACCACCCCTTCCGAGCATACTCTTGGGAACAAAAAACAATAATAAAAACAAAAACAAAACACAAAATTCGATGAGAGCAGAGATGTCTCGGAAGACATCCTGAGCGCAGAGGAGGACGTTCTCTTTGGCAAGATTGCCAAGAATGCACGGCGACGGTACTGTGAGGTGGCCAGGGATCACCTTCAGGCCGCGCTTGTCGACGAAGCCACAGGCAGCGGTAAGCCCGTTCAGGAGAGGTGGGTCGAGATCGAGTCAAAACTCTCTGAACGGGGGGGGCGACTACCTGTTTGAAAATCCGGACAACCCTATTCCAGGATTTGACTCCAGTAAGTCCCTGAGGGGTTGCCGGATTTTCAAATGTAGAGATGAGTTCTCTAGGGAATTCCTCGACAAGTGCGTAGCCGAGCTCGGCAGCGCCTGGGAGGGTTTGAAGTTCAAACTAATCCCTGCCGAGGAGGTACCTAGGAAACCCAAGGCCCGCATTTGGCTGCCGAAGATGGCTATGGACAGCGACAAGTTGATCCGCTTCCTTCAACGGCAGAATCCAGAAATACCCATGAGTGCAGAAAAGCCTCTAGAGGGCGCGCTGAGTTCTTCGTACTTCTGAGGCTTAACGAAGAAAGTATTGAGCCATTGCAAAAAATGGACAATAAGCTGCTCTTCGGGGTGAAAACAACGAAACTAAAAATATTCCGCTCCAATGAGCCGATTCCAGAGGGTGATATCGAGGATGCCAACCAGATGTCTGGCGATATGAACCTCAAGGTTACCGCGGACGAAGAGGTCGCTGAAGGTGCCAACCCGGTGCTGGCAGGCACAGGGCCAGTTAGCAATGCCGAGAAAGTCGATGAAGGTGGTCCAGGCAAATCTTAGGCACTCTAAGGCTGCCTCGGACAAGCTCCTGGTCTTCCTAAGGGAGGAAGACATCGACATCTCGTTGGTACAGGAACCTTGGGTAAGGGACCTAGAGGTAAAGGGACTCACCGACGCCCGCTATAACCTCGTCTACACTAGTATATCAGGTAAACCCCGCGCTTGTGTATTGGTTAAAAAACATACTAAAGCTTTCTTATGTTCCAACTTCAGCTCACCGGATACTACAGTCGCCAACTTGGAATTGATGAATAAGCAACGCTGTCTTATATCATCAGTATACACGGCGCACGACAGGCCGTGTCCGCCACAGAAAGTCGTCACTTTACAAAGGCTAGCAGGAGCTAGTCCAAGTGTTACTCGGCTGCGATGCCAATTCACGACATACATTATGGGGCAGCTCGGAAACTAACGAAAGAGGTGAGTCGCTATTTCAATTTATTATTGATTCTATTAATCCTAGTACCCCTGATTTTTGCGGTTGGGAAGAGGTCCTAGACGTAACTCTGCTGACCGAGGAGAGCCTAAAGGTCAATAAATGGAGAGTATCCGACGAAGAGACCCTCTCGGACCACCGTCGAATACTCTTTGAGCTAAATATTGCGGCGGATACGCCTACTTCGGAAAGGCCCTTACGAAGGCTTGTCCGCTGAGGTATGGCAAGAAAGCGCGCACACCTTGGTGGAATGAGAACCTTACAGCGCTACGGAAGCATGTAAGAAAATCCTTCAACGAATGCTACAGGATTACAGTATGGGACCTATACAGAGAGAACCTAAAGAAATACAAGAAAGCGATACGGGACGCCAAGGAGGCGTCCTGGAGGGAATTTTGCGAATCCATCGAGGATACCAAGGAATCTGCGAGATTAAGCAAAATCCTTGCCAAAGGGCACTCACAGCCAACATATATAAAAAGGTCAGATGGTTCATGGACCGACTCGGCTGGGAAATCGCTGGATATCCTTCTGAATACAAATTTTCCAGGATGCAAAATCGATATAGTGGAAACCGATGCCCCAGACCATATACCAGCCCTCTCCGAGGACCTCTTAGAGGAGCTACTAGAGAGGGAAAAGATAAAATTTGCTATCTTCAGCTTCTCACCCTATAAATCACCGGGTATGGACGGAGTTCTACCAGTCATGCTTCAGAAAGCTTCTGAGATGGTCATTCCATTCCTAGAAACAATTTTTAGAGGATACCTAATACTGAACCACGTTCCGTTAAGTTGGAGGTAGATTAAGATAATTTTTATTCCTAAAGCGGGCAAACGGGGCCATGACAATGCTAAAGTTTTCCGACCAATAAGCCTAATGTCCTTCGTGCACAAGACGTTTCAGAGGCTGTTGGATCTGTATGTTAGGGACAAGACGTCCAATTTATCATGTTCTCAACATGCGTACTTGAAAGGGAAGTCAACGGAGACTGCCCTACATGAAGTG